GAGGTGATGCATATTCTAACCTTAACATTCATAATAGAATCACTCTCTGTGCCTTAGTTTTCTCGTCTACCAAATGAGGGTATGGATTAACATATATATAAATACTTTGCAATATACATATTCACTGATTCAGCACTGTTTCTGGAAATAAAGACCCTACAGTTTCAATTGGTCATCAACATACATCCTTCTTATTTGTTAAGCAGATTTATTCTGGGGGAGAGTCAGTACAGCCCCTCAGAAACCTGATATTTGGGACAGGGAATGAAGGTAGTTCACAAGGTTTACATATAACTGAGCGCAGTTTCTTACTCCAGACATTTCTCATTGGCCTTGTTTGCCACAAGAGCAATTAACTCTGCGAAGCTTTATTTTCTATTGCATTAGTCAGTGGGCTCAGATAAAAACTTACAATATTATTTTCAGTATAAGTTTTCTTTGACTATAAATTGATATAACACATTTCAGATTCAGTGCCAACGAAAAAAGGACAGACAGTAGCTTGCCCTTATTTATGTTCCAGGACTCCCGGTGAGTGCCTAAATCTGAGGATAGTACAGAACCCTATATAGACTATGTTTTTCCCTATAAATGCATATCTATAATAAAATTTCATTTATAAATGGTGCATAATAAGAGATTAACAACAATAACCAACAATGAAATAGAACAGTTATAACAATATGCTATAATGAAAGTTATGTGAATGTCCTCTCTCTCTCTCTCTCTCTCTCTCTCTCTTCTCTCTCTCTCTTTCTATATATATATATATATAACTTCTCTACATTTCCAGTATGGTGATCTCAGGGCTCCGAGAGAGAATACTCCAAGGAAGTGGAGTTGCCAGTATTCAAGAATTGGTCTGGAAGCCAATCTAGTTCTGTGCCTACAATATTCTATTAATTTTAATGAATCACAGATCACATCCAGATTAGAGTGAGAGGAGTGTCATTGCAGTTGGCTTCTTATTGGGTTTACAACAAAAAGGGGACAATCTGCAAGTGGATGGTTAATCAATGCATACAGCACAGGTTGGAGAAAGAATGAAGGCTGACAATAAGTGTCTGGTGAGAATAAGTATTTCTACTTTAATTTGAAATATTACCTACGAAACCAATAAGTTTTGGTAGCTAAATCATCAAAATCTGAAGGAATTCTATTTGAACCTTTGAATTATAAATGAAATATGCATCTGTACAGAAGTCTGTACGCTTATGCTTAATTCCAAACCTGAAATATAGGTTTCCTATAGCTTTTTTTTTCCCCAGCAAATTTTTAGAAATCCAACTTTGACTAATGTACGGTGGAAGAAATAAAATGCAATGCTTGATATGAAAAGGGTTACTTGCCAAAGAATCCCAAACAAAGAAAGCTAGTCTGTATTCCTGAATTATCTTCTAAACAGCGCATTTTATTTATTCTCTTGGTAATATGAGAATGTTTTAAATTTGAGAGCTGAGAAAGACTACTCTTTGGTACAGCTATAAAAGTCAATGTTTATTGTATTATGACTATATAATAAAATATTTATTAATAATGATTCATAATGGAAAATATTGGTTTAGTTCAGTAAATAGACTACATTTACCTGTAATGTAATGTTACCTTTGGATGCCATGTAAGGAAACTTCTATAGTGGCAACCAAACAGGCATTATACACATAGGAAGGCTGAGAATTGGTGAAAATGCAGTCTTCTCTATAGCCATCAACCTTTCTCATAGATACAAAAATGTGAAATTATCAAGTCAACTGTGGAGGAAGGGATTACATCAGCAGCAGCAGCTGAAACAATCTGTTCATTGGCAGTTGCAGCTGAGAAACTCTAATCTCCCTGACAAGCACCTCATGTCATCTAGGTATTCAGCTTGGCACCAAGGAAGATCGTTCTGTGAGTTAACCTCATTGCTAAGAAAGGGGAATGGCTTGTAGTGAACCTTGACATCAGACCTGGAAGATCTCCTCAGGGACAGCCTTCAAGTCCAAATTCTAATGTTTGTCAGAACATTGGAATAGCTTGTTAAATTGCAGAATCCAGCTTAGTAGATCTGAATTGGTACTGAGATGTGCATTGCTCATCAGATCCCAGGTAATGCTGATGGGGCCAGTCTATAGAGCACCCCTTGAGTTGCATGTCTATAATTAACATATCCCTTTATTGAACTACTACAATTGTGATAAAACTTGAGACTGAACTGAAATAATATGTTATGATTCTAAATGTCTTATGAGTAAAGACAGCAGTCTCGTTATGGAAATTGAATAAATCACAGGTAAAGTTCAATAATGCTAAAGCTAATAAGAACTTTACCAATTGTTTTGTAGATTAACTGAAATTAAGAAAGATGGCCCAGCTAATAAGTAACAAGTGTTAAAAGAAAACTTCAGACAAATTAAATTATGGAGTTTAATTGAGCAAGACAAAAAACAATTCACAAATTGGGTGGCCTCTAGAATCACAGTGGATTCAAAGAGACTCCAGGGATGCCTCATGATCAGAACAAATATATAGATAAAAGGAATTGAGGTACAAAAATCAGAAGTGAGGTACTAAAACAGCTGCATTGGTTACAGACTGGGATTGGTGTTTGCCTTATTTGAATACAGTTTGAACACTCAGCAGTATATGAGTGGTTGAAGTATGACTGCTTGTGTTGGCCAAGATTCAGCTATTGTTACAGACACACACTCGTAAGTTAGGTTTTCAATCATGTCTACCTATTAAGTTAGGGTACGTTTGGTTCACAAGGACTCAAATATAAAAGTGAGGAATCCGTCTCAGGCCATATTTAGTTCACTTTAACACAAATCATGAAAGTGCCATGCATTTGTTTTCTAAACTATCACCAGTTTGGTCTAAAATGGCTAGGTACCTTGAGAAGAAGCTATCAAATTGTATGAGATGGCACTAAAGGACGGATGATATCCATGACAGTTTTCCATAGAGCTGATCATAAAGGTAGTAACAAAAATATAGAATCATTATGAGGATATGTTTAGAACATTATGACATGTTTTACCCTGATTGTAAAGAGCTCTTTTGTGTCATTTTTATGATAAAGATCTCACCTCAAAAAAAATAGATATCACATACCAACTTTCTTGTTTTGGCAAACCACTCATAGAGCTCTCTATTACAGAAGGAAATTGAGCATGAGATAACACGTCTCCACCTATCCGTGCATAGCTGTTAGATTCTTTCTCATACACACCCTTTGTCATAGGTTAAGCATAACATAGCCTCTAGCTAGCTTTCACTCTGCCCCTTAATTAGATGGAAAAATTGACTTGCACAGAAGAAAGACTACAGAATTTTACACTAAAGGTTTTATAATGGGTGTGTGTGTGACTGTGTGTATGTGTATGTGTTTACAAAACCTTTTTTTTTTAATAAAGAAAAGACTGGAATATGAAGTCAACACAATAAATCAAGAGAAGAGGTGACTGGGAGACTTTTCTTGAATGGCTTAAGGAAAAGGAATTTTTTCAGCAAGTTTTACAGGAGAGTCAGTCATTTGGTTGAGTGCATGCTTTTCCCAGAGAGGGACTGCGGAAATAAGGTGTAAGCTGCCCAGGTCTATCCAGATCAGTACTCCGCTTTGGCTGCTTCAAATGGATCTGGTCCTAGGACTATCATTTCCAAGTACAGGAAAGGGAATTTGCTTCCAAATAATACTTCCTCTCCTATTATGAATGCTAGACTTTCATCTCACATGAAGACACAAATTGCAAATGCCAGCACCTCTGATAATATCTGTCTTATTTTGCTTCAGTATTTGATTTAACTTAGTATTTCCAAATTGATAGAGGAGTACAATGCGCGTGTTACTGTGCGAAGTACCACAGCCTAGGAGTAACTGAAACATGCTCTTAATCTAGAGTCTCTAAAAGCAAAGCTCAGAGAAAGGATAAAACTACTGACACTACATTTACAAGTCGGCTACATGAACGTGCAAAAGAATAAAAAAGTGAAGCAAGTAAAGATGAAATTCTCTGAGTTATATTGCTGGCCACATACTTACTATAAGCCTCAAAGAAAAACCGCTGAATGTTTCCGAGGAATGTTTTCTAGCACAAGTAACTTTATCTGGAGGGGCTACTTAGAAGACTGCATCTCAGTGTAGTCCACAGGAAAGGAAGAAAGATGTATATGCCCGGATCCCTCTCATCTCCTTCTTCACATTAGTCAGGATTTGCCCCATGGAGGCCTCGTTCTTTTAAACTTCCTAGTCATATCTTCTGATCCCTTTAGTGGCCACTCAGTAGGGTAGATCCCATGTCCCTAGTATGATATTTCAGCTAAGTCCAAAGAAGGACACATGGCGTGAATATATGAATAAAGTTCAACCTAAGGCTTAACATTACAGTGCTGAATGAACAGCAGTGGTCTAGTATGGGAGGAGGTGGTGTCTGATTATGGACAAATGAGGTGGTCAAGGATATCCGAAGTGGAACAAATGGCTGTTTAACAGAGTAGACTCCTTACTGAACCCCAGCTCAAGCTCTCCAATAGAGAGTTTGGCTGGCTGCTATACAACATTATGAGACACCTTTTAAAATTTATTTATGATTTTGTTGAGAGAGAATAAAGACAACTTCACTCATTCCAGAAAAGGAAAACTGTAAGTCCAATCAGATTCATGACCACCTTCAATACCTTACCTAGTTGTCATCTCCTGGAGGCCTAAGGTGATAAAATACTACCAAAAGCTCCAACGTCTGCTCCTGAGTTGGTTCTAAGACTGTAGGTATTCATTAGATCCCTCCTCCACTACCCATTTCAAATTCTGCTCCCTCTCACGCAGTGATCTGGTATTTAGCACATCCTGAAGGCAGCTGGTTGTCCCTCAACTGTGTGTTAGCTGAATCATCAACAAACTGCTCTATTATTCTATCAGTCCAGCTGCTTCTGTGTGATCCTGTATGTGGTAGTGGGTCCATTGTTGAATCTTGTTAATAAAAGTATATTTTGCCCCAAGGCAACGTTATATGGTAGAACATGCTTATGAATAAGGCATTTAGTAAGCACGTGTTAGACTGCTGACACGGGTGATGAGAACTGGAGTCTGAGCCGGAAAAAAAAAAAAAAAGGCATTTAGTAAAAACCGCTATATAAAGTATGGATCGAATGATCTAAAGAAAAATGGCCACCCATTCTAAAGGGCTGCTTCCTTTGAGGAATCCTGTTTAAGTCTCTGCTTCTGGCTAGGTGGGCATTTGATAGTTCTCACAGTGGTGTAGCTGACTAAGGTGCCATAGAAATCTGGGCCATCTGTTTATGCACTTATTAATGCCTTTCATAGCCATGTGAGTTTTCTCTCAAATGCGTTACTTCCATGGCATGATGGGTTTGCTGCTGTGCACACTCCATGTTAGGACTCAATGTCATCAAGGGTAGCTGAGTGTTGCATAGTCATTTGATATTCCATGTCCCGGTGCTTCAATCTCTACTAGCACTTCAGGAGACATGTTACAAAAGAACACTTGTTTTCTACTCTAGACAGCATGGCTTTGCTTGAAACTACAGGTCTGCATTGTGACTTTCTTATTGGGTCTTTTTAGAGAATTTTTACAGCATCCTTATCCAGCACAGATACATTTTAAACTATCAGATATGCTAGATCATATTATTCAAGAGGCAGAGTAAACTTCCAACTCGCAGCTTCCCATTTTACCCAATAACATGGTATAATAGTCTTCCCGAGTGCAGTATCTGTCAATTCTAAAATCTAAAAAGGCTAATTGAATGTCATAAGAAGTACAAGGTACAGAAATTCAATCTTCAGAGGAGATTGCTGACATGCCCCAAACCAACGGACCCTTAAAATTTTAATCATTGTAGAATGCATGTCTTACTAGATCATCTAGGGACTTCATTGGATTCAGTTAGCATGATGTTGTCTATACCGTGGGCCAACATAGGACTGAAAAATCATTTGACCATGGATATATGTTGTTGGACTACTCACTAACCTCTCATTGGACAGAGATTATGAAGGGTAGTATGTAATACAATGAATAAAATTTTGTTTCTCCTATGCTTTAAGATGTTCTTTTTCCCTGTCCTTAGGATGGAGTTATTTTGTTTCTGTCCAAAAACTTTATTAAGTTATCAAGGTGAGTGAGAAATATTAATTAATTCTGTAAGAATAAGTTGATCTAGAAACTGAGACATTGTGGTTTCAGAGAAAATGTTTAAAATCTAGTGAGGGAAGGTTACGTACACACTCTAGCTATGAGATGGCACTGAAGCTCTATGAATCTCATACTATTTATCAGCAAAATGGAGCTATAGTACATAATTGGTCACATTTTAGAGTTCATGGTGATCACAGAACATGATTTGAACACCAAAGAAGTATTTGAAAATTTAAAAGCATGCTAGGCACAAAATAGATTGTAACTTTGTTACTATCACCCGTGCTAGACTTTCTCTCACTGGCTCCAGCTGTATCTTTGTCTCTTTGTCTAAGAACAGCCCATCCCTTATTCTACGAGGCATTGTTTGGATTAAATGGGGCTAATGTGAAGTTATTGCTTATGTTCAGAAATGTCCCTTATATGGTGACCATGTCACTTTGACTAGTTAGGTGACTCACGCTCCCAAATGGTAAAACCATTTGTGCCATTAGAATTCTGTATAGAGGCAGAGTCCTCATACAAGTATTGACTATTCATAAGCCATATGCAGGAAAACAGGACAACATTTAGTTGTTTAAATGTTGTGTTCCCTGACCTAGGGACCTAGCTTCTGCCTTGTGGAAGAAAACCAGGACCTACAAAGCAGCAATAGATCCAGAAGGAAGATGACATGCTGGAAATTAAAGTCAGTATATTTATATTCATAGTGCTTTTCAGCTTTTCTTTTCTACTCTTAGAGTCTTTTTCTTCTCTTCCAATGATGATCTAAGAATAATAAAGAAGTCAAGTTACAAAACTGGTTCCAAAGACACCAAGTTAAACGATAGGAAGATAGACAAATTAGAGAGCTGTGTATGTCTCCCCTGCTTCCCTCCCCTGAGGACAGGTTGATCTCCTAAAGCCAGGTAACACTCCCTCCACTAAAGAGGTAAGCGTTCCTCTGTGTGATATCTGGAAGAGAGGGAGACTCAGGGGTCAAGTGGAAGTTTCTTATTTCCTTTCTGAATAGAAAAGCATCCGTCATGGCATCAACTCTTGTTTCTTACAAGAATTTATCTCAGAAAGGCAGTCAAGAGATTTGTTTTGGGCTCTGGCCATTGACTAAAGATATAACTACCTCACCAGCTAAACCATTTATATGTCCTGGAAGCCATATAAAGGAGAACAGTTGATGAGTAATGAAATGATGAGTTTCAGTTTTTCCTCTGTGTATTTCAGTTTTGGAGAGACACCTATTGATGGAGGTCCAAGGCTGGGAAGTTCTGGTCAGAGCAGTCTAATGTAAAATTGAGAAATCCTGACTCCATTTCACATGCCTACTGCATTTTTGAAATCTGCAGAACATTTTTGTCATCCCATTCAAAACTCACCACAGTTTGCCATTTTCAGATGAGCATTCCCAGATTCAGGGTGGGCAACTGACTTGCCAAAGTCACACACAGATAGAGCCAGGAAAAGAACTTAAGCCTTCTGATTTTACTTTCAATGGCTTTCAAATATATTCAGCTATTTCTATAGTAGCAGCCTGGTGGAGGATAAGAGAGAAGACCAAAATTTAAACAGCAACTTAGTATAAATTTTTCCCTAATTTTCTTGCACAGACTCACAAGGATTACATGCCCCAAGCAATCTTTCCCCATTGAGTAGCAGCTATGTGACATATATGAGTGAAAATCACAGAGTACAAAAGATCTATAACAAAAACCCAAGCACTGACACTGAATCCTGAATAGGTATTATCCATCATAGATAATAGAAATCTTTACTAAAATAGATTACATAGATCATCTTGTCACATTCTCCTCTATTTCTAGTCCCCTATACATAGAACAGGAAGTTAATGGAGCTGGGAAAATGGGCTGCCTTCAGATTCCCTTTTCTGTCTGAAATGAATACTGTACAAGTCTGTACTGGATGAGCTGTGTGGGATTAGGGTGGGAACTGAGGAAGGGATTCAGTCCTCGTTCTGCCCCAGCAAGCTTAGCCATTGTTTACTGTCTGTTGGGGCCGCAATACCAAGTTGTGTTGATGTGTTGACATATTGGATGCCTCTGGAGCTTTTCCTGACACCAGGATGAAAATATTGGAGGCACAGCAGAGGAACAAGAATCTGATCATAGATTAGGTTTGAGCCAGAGCCTGATTACTGCAGTATTTCACCAAAAGCAGCTAGATGCCTTGAGAAAGAAACTTTAAGAATCCTTGCCTCTAGCTCAAAACTAAGCAACAAGGGATGCAAATATTTTTTGAGTAGTTGGAGTAGATACTATCTTTTTCCTTGGTGGGGGGTAGGGGGAAACAACATTTCTCATATCCAGCACTCACAGAGTCTCAAAGAACAATGTGCTTTTAAATAGACAGTTCTGAATTAGACCCTAGCTGTGATATAAACTAAAATCAATTACATCTTGTTCTCCCTGTTTGAAGTCCCTTATCCATCTCTGGAAAGTGTGTTTATTGAGTGTATCTGTCTTGTTGAATCAAGAAAAACTAATTTGTGTTTTTAATTTTATTTAGTTTTGAAGAAAACCATATGTGAAACTTCCCATTGAAATTGTAATAGGTAATAACTGGAAAAAGAGAAAAAAATCTAATATTTTTTAAATTTTACTTTAAGTTCTGGGATACATGTGCAGAACAGAGACAGGTTTGCTACATACATGTGCCACGGTGGTTTGCTGCACCTACCAACCTATCACCTAGGTTTTAAGCCCTGCATACCTTAAGTATTTGCCCTAATGCTCTCCCTTCCCTTGCCCCCTACCCCGTGACAGGCCCCAGTGTCTGATGTTACTGTGTCTATGGAAACCTCTAATTGTTTTAGATGAGGAATTTGAGGTCCACAGCTGTAAAAAACTTTTCCCAAAGTCACCTAAACCCTTAGTGGCACAACTAGTAGTGATGGCTGCATTTATAAGTTGTTTACTACGCACCGGGTACTGCAAAGCACTTTATACAGTGTTCGCTTAAATTTTCATTATAATCCATCTTCTACAAATTAAGAAAGTGAGAATTATAGAACTGATTTGTCTAAATGATAATAAGTCACAGAAATGGGTTTCAACCTCAAGATGTGATATGAGCCAGCCATGACTGACTGAGTGTATGTTCTAGGTTGGAATTCTAGAGCACCCAATTTGCTGACTACTTTTTGAGGCAACAGTACTGGAGATCTGTGGTCCTATAATATAAAACGTCATGGGGTAAAAGTAATAGAAAAAGGGAAAAGGAGAGAGAAAGGGAGAGACAGAGTCTATCCCTTTGTTCTGTTCTCCTCCTCCCTTTCTCCCTTCATTTTTCTCCCTCTCTCTCCTGCAGTGATCCTAGACCTAGTCTTGAATAATTATTAAGTTTAAAAAAGCAACAAAAAACATACTTCAGATATTGAAATTATATTTTTCAACCTGCTTCAATGTTTAAGATACATTTATCTTCATTTTATTTGGAACCTTTTTCATTTCCTATATGGTTTGAGGTTATTAAGTGTCATAAAAATGTCTTACTTTTTAGAGCACTTTATTGTTTTAGCTTCTAGATCATTCTTTGAAAACACAGCTTATGTTGTATAACTCCTATACTAAATAAACCTTTAATATCCTTTCCTTTTCCCGTCTGATTTTGTGTGTTACTCGAAGGCTGGGCTTTAGGACTGTCCATTCTATACCCTCATCCTCTTCATTCTGATTGTTAGTGTCCCATGAATGGTGCAGTCACAACAGCCAGGCTCTCTGAGCTTCACTTTTCAGACACATATCTCACTTGTCTCCAAGTGTTCAGATATTCTATTGTTTTCTAATATAGCAATAAATTCTTTTTTCCCTCCTGTCTCTTCCACCATTTCTTGGGTAAAAAAAATCTCCATTGGGTGTGGTGGCTCATGCCTGTAATCCCAACACTTTTGGAGGCTGAGACAGGAGTCTGAGGTCAGGAG